GGGGAGAAGCCCCCCCACATTATTATTAAGGCACTGACTATATAACATTTTGTGCCAAATCTGATGAAAATTAATGTTGTGGTTTAAAAGTTATAAAGAGAAAACTAGTTTTTTTTGTAATCTTTGACGGCCTGTATTTTTCTTAGGAAACATTTTTGAGAAATGTTAATTAATGAAAGTCTACCTTAAAATTAATGTATCACAAACTGGACCGCCCTGTATAATCTTTTTTGAAAATTTAATATTAGTTGTTTCTTTAAAAAAAATTATCGCTCATTCCAATATGTCCACTCAAAAAAAAGTTATAAAATTAAAAGTTAAAAAAAATTACTGTGTTATTTAAACGTTCCATTTATTATATGTCTAATTTCAACCTTGAATAACTATTAAAGGAGTGAATTTACGAAAAAAATATTAGAGAGATTTTTTGTAGAGCGTTCAATTTTCTTTAAAAATATATGTCGCTTATTCCAATATGTTCACTCAAAAACGAGTTATAAAATTTCAAAGTTAAGAAAAAAGAATTCCTGTGTTATTTAAACGTAAAATAGAAATTCACGATGAGCGACCTCTAAATATTAATATTAAGAGCTACAATTTTCACAGGCTTCTTTTTTGACTACTAGAAAGATATTTTAATGCGGGTTTTGAAGAAAAAAAAATATTCGATTTTTTTGAACCAGTCTAATATATATATATATATATATATATATATAGACGTTCCACGTCTAACTCTAAAAATGGTTGCTGGTCACCTCAAAAAACCCTATCTACGTACGAACTCATCATCATCACAATTTTTCATATTCACATTGTTCTATATATTTTTTTTAATATTTTACAAAAAAATGAATGAAAATCAACATTTTGATACTGAATGCAATGCTTTACAAAAAAAGGTATCTTATTCAAAAGATATCTTAGCCTAAAGTTTGTTTTTTTTTAATTTTATAACTTGCAGAGATGTTGAGATTTTGAAATGAGTAGTATTTTTGTTGAAAATAAATGGCCTGCAAAAAAAAATTGATTAGTTTTTTTAATCAATGTAAGAGTTTGAAAAATAATTAGGGTAATCGCAACTAAAATTAAACTTATACCGATTAACCTTTTTTTTTAATAACTAAAATATTATTTATCTACTTCTACGTTGACAAGGTGTGACTTTATGGCGTTTTAGTCACGGGCTGAAGTTAGCTTTATTATGAATTAGGGAAAAATGAGGTTAAATCCGTTAAAAGTTGACAGATGTCAAATTTTCAACAAATAAAATTGGCTTTAAATTCTTTTTTGTGTTTGTCGTAGATAACCTTACGAAACCTTACCCCACCTTGACAAAAAATCAAATGTGTTATTTAACAAAATAAGAACTAGGTATATCTAAAGTCAAATTGTTTAATTGCGACGTTTATAACCTTAAAATATTCGTACATTGTGATGCTGAGGCTAATATTAAGAATAAACACGAAAGAGTTTTAATACACGATAAAATGTCGCACCCGTTACATTTTGAGAAAGTTTTAGAAAATAAAGTATACAATATTTATGCATTTAAAATACATGCTTGTTTAAGGTTACTATTCAAGTTTTACACAAAAAATTACTAATACATGCTTTCATCCAAAATTTTAAAGTATCAACTTTAGAAGCCAACTTGGTAGCATTTGCCGATTTTCTAAGGTCGCGCCTGTTACGCTATTCATGACGTTATAAAAGGTTTTCTATGCAAGTTTTTATTCACATTTTGTTTAAGCTAATTATCTAATTTTTCATACTATTTTTGTATATTAAAGTATGTTAATATATATAAACAAACACTTTATTATCATGAAAAAACGCAGTTTTAGTGTCGCACCCGTTACAATGGAAGTAAAATATTTATCTCGTTTTATAAACTTCTCTATATACTCGTTTTTATTAATCACTCGCTCGCAAGCTTCGTGTGTGCCTAATAAAACTCGTAACTAAAATGGATGGACTAAAAACTTGATACTTAATATACTATTATCCACTCCTACATTGACGAGCTGTGACTTTATGGCGTTTTAGTCACGGGCTGAAGTTAGCCTTATTATAAATTAGGGAAAAGTGAGGTTAAATCCGTTTAAAGTTGTTTAACAAATAAAATTGGCTTTAAATTCCTCTTTGTGTTCGTTGTAGATATAGTATAGTATGAAACTCGTTTTATAAACTTCTCTAGACACTCGTTTATATTAAACACTCGCTCGCAAGCTTCAGTCGTAATAAAACTCAAAACTAAATTGGCGCTTATAAAACTTGATACATAATATACTATTTTTTTCAAGTGTACAATAGTTTTTATATTATAAGACTCATTAGTTCTTATCTATAGAACCTATCTAAACTGCGCACCACTCAATGTGTCCCGACCAAAAAGTTCGTCCTTTTTCAAAACGACATAACTTTTTTGTTTCTTAAATGATTTTATTTTGGTCTGTGATGTCTGCTAGCCCCATCCTCTGGCAATTGCTATAGATATAAAGCTCACGGTTCTTCAAGTAAATTTCGTACAGGGTGATATGCAAAACCGTCAAACATTTCAATAACTTCATCCAAGCCCCGTTTGTAAAAAAAAATAATTTTTTTCTTGTTTTTACTTTGAAATAATGAAGTATTATGTCTTACCTTGAAAAGATTTTCAAATTTTTTGTATTGGAATCTTAGCAAAGAAAATATGATTTTTTTTCCAAAAGGGTACATTTAAGGCTTTTTTGTTGGCAATAAACTCAGTCTTTTTAAGAACAAGAAGATAAGATGGTAAAAGATTGTTCCTTGAATAATTCTGAACAAGCGACAAGCAACAAACCTCCATTATTTTCAGAAGGGCCTAAGCAAAGACCACTTTTTCAAATTGACCTTTTGGTGAAAATTTGCGAAAACTAATCCTAAACCGATATTTACGTTCTTGACATGTTTTCTTTATAATTTTGACCTCCTGATTGTGATTCAGTTGTCAAATATAAGTTTCAGATAAAACCAAAATCACTAAGAATCAAAATTCGAAAACAATTCCCGGCTGTTAAATGTCTTAATAAAATCCTATTGCTGGCGTGTTTCTTGCATATTTTTGATTAAAATGCCATTTGGGGATTCATTTTTTGTTCGAAATTACTGCAATTTGTTTGAGTGGTTAGGTGGTTAGATAATAAAGTTAAATAAAAATATTTTTTTCATTTTGAAAAATTTTAAGAAAAGATATATAACTTATGCAAAAAACTTCGAAATTTGGAAAAACACAAGCAAACTAAAAAAATCAAGATATCCCTCATAATGCTAATTTTCATTTGATCCTCAATTTTATCATTCAGCGACATGATAATAACGTACTAAAGATGCAAACACTGTATAAAAACAGTAAAAACCAGCAATCGTATTATATTAAGATATTTAACAGCCGGGAATTGTTTTCGAATCTTGATTCTTGGTGATTTTGGTTTTATCTCAAACTTAAATTTGACAACTGAATCATAATTAGGAGGTCAAAATTATGAAGAAAACATGTCACGAACGTAAATATCGGTTAAGGTTTAGTTTTTTGCAAATTTTCACCAAAATGTTATTTTGAAAAAGTGGTTTTTGCTTAGGCCCTCTGAAAATAATGGAAGTTTGTTGCATGTTGCTTGTTCAGAATTATTTAAGGAACAATCTTTCATCATCTTATCTTCTTGTTCCTAAAAAGACTGAGTGTATTGCCTACAAAAAGCCTTAAATGTACTCTTTTGAAAAAAAAATCATATTTTCGTTGCTAAGATTCCAATTCGAAAAATTTGAAAAAAGTTTCAAGGTAAGACATAATACTTCATTATTTCAAAGTAAAAACAAGAAAAAAATTATTTTTTTACAAACGGGGCTTGGATGAAGTTATTGAAATTTTTCACTGTTTAACATATCTACATATATATACATATACCCGCTTCATATCTATATCATGAATTGCCAGAGGATGGGGCTAGGAGACATCACAGACCAAAATAAAATCGTTAAAGAAACAAAAAAGTTATGTCGTTTTGAAAAAGAACAAACTTTTTGGTCGCGACACATTGAGTTTATAAAGAAATAACGTTGTAATAAAACAAATAATTGTTATTTAAATTTTAATTGTTGGTAGATCATTTAATTTCCAATAAAAATGTGTAGTTGAGTTATAAAATTTTAATTTTTTTTTAAATTTTGAAAACTTTGACCAAGATAAAAAAACATAAATTCACTATCATAATTGGGCTCAGCAATATATTTATTTGTTAGTGGGATATAATTTTTTTTTCATACACTAATGTGAACATGGAAAATTGTGATGAGGAGTATCTTACTAAGCCACCGATTTTGGAGGACCTTTACGAAATCGTTCTCCAGCCACGATTAAATTCTTAAAACCACCATACAGTGTCTTGGGATGGTGCTTCATCGACATGTAAAAAATTAATGCACTGTTACATAATTCACTTCGACAGTTGTGAAAAATTAACACACGTAATTGTGCAGATGTTTAATTTAAGGTAGCAGCACTAGTGTTGCCAATTATTAGAACTAAATATGCTTTATTTTTATCTATGACCTCTTGCCATTTTTCGAGTGTAGTCATTGGTTTGAAACTTGTGTGGTTTCTGAGCGAAAAAATGAACAAAGTTATTTTTGAAGTTTTCCTTTAAACCCAATTTACACAATTAATAGAGTTTTGCAGAAACTGAAACAATTGATGGTGTTGTTTATACAAGGTGGCGCAAAAGTTATCACCCGATAATTTTAGAATATATCGAATTTTGTCTATATTTCTTCTCATTATCAAGATACCATAGATATATTTTCGCAGAATAACCATATGTGACTTATATTACATATATATTATATATAATATATTATTTATGCGAATTCTCTCGGCAAAATAGACAAGAATTGTTTGAAGTAATTAATACTTTGTCAAGAATTTTTAAATTATGTAGGTAATTAATATTTTTAAAATAAAATATGTATTTTTTTTCTAGATAAACCCGATTTATTAACTCTGGCAGGAGCGTTAAGAGAACAGTATAAAAATATACCAAATCAACCATCAAAAAGGTCAACCTTTTGCCCAGCTAGTTCGCAATGTGTTCCGCTGACGTCATGTCCTATTTTAAATAATATCATCGACAACCAATGTGTTTTGTCTGATAGGTGAGCATCAAAACAACATCACGAATAACATAAAAATAATTTTTAATTGGCAAAAAGAGAAATCTAAAATTTTAAAAGCAGGAAACTAAAACTTGTATTATTATTGACAAAAATTCCTCAAATGTATTTTTAGTTTTTATAGATGAAGATTTTTTATTTTCAATTTTATTTGACATTGAAATATAGCCATTTACCTAAATAGTAGCATTTCCTGCTGATAAAAGTAATGATTTCAAATCAAATTTTTTATTATAATAAAATATATATAATAATGTACCATAACACTTTTCATTTTACCATGAACAAATGCATTTGTATAATTTACATGTTATCTATTTTTAGGATAGCTGAATTAGGTTGCGGTTATCAAGGATCAGGATTGGTATGTTGTCCTCAAATAAACGACCCCAACACGATTTCTCCGAGTAGTGTTGTTGACGGTCAAAAATGTGGTGGTTCACAAGTTAAAGGTGATGGATATGATGGTATTGGCGCTTTTCCGTGGGTGGTCAGAATTGGATTTAGAAGTAAGTTTAACCAAATTTTCGTCTTAAATTTTAAATTAAAAGATATGTTTTTAATAACAGCTTTGTTCCAATATCAATCCAAGTTTGCAAATTATTTCTAATTTGATACTTTAAAGATTGACTCTTGTTAAAACAAATCTAAGGTTGTGTCTAATGCAGACATGTCCATAATTAAATAAAAACAAGGTAATATTCGTTCTAATTAATTTCATTAAACAGGAAATTTGTTTGTTTATAAATACTATTTATTTAATGGTTTTTGGAAAATTTTATATGAATCAACACTTAAAATAAAAATAAATGCAAATTATGTACTTGCCTATAAAATAATTAATAATAAAGTTCATATTGAAATGATTGATTAAAAACAAAATTTATATATATCACGTATAAATTAAATGATTAATTTTATTTTAGGTTATTATAAGACTTTTATGTAATAGTTTGGGGCTTTTAGGGTCTAAGTATTTTAGAAATAGTATTTTTTGTTAACATATTTTAAACCATACTTAAAATCGTTAGGAAAACGGTATCCTATTGTATACTTCCCTACTTTTATGTTATGTTATGCTTTTAGAAAAAAATGCATGCAATATTTTATAATTTTTTGTTTTGCACAGAATTATTAATAGTTTCAATAATATGTTTTTACAAAACATAACTTAAATAAGTTAAATCATTATTTTTTTAGATGTTTTAACAGGAGAAGTAAAATATCCATGCACAGGATCCATTATTAACAACAGAGTTATTCTCACTGCAGCTCATTGTGCATTGGCAAAGGCTGACAACTTTAAACTGTAAGTAATAAAATAATACTAAATAATACTAAAATTCCATTTCTATAGACAAATAGGTAATAATACTCTATAGAAATGGAATTTTAGTATTATTACCTATTTGTCTCCGCTAATCATAACTTTAGGTACAATGGAATAAAATCCGTTTTGAAAAAAAAATTATTTCCTTTTAGCCTGATTTTATTTTACCTATTTTACCTAAATTCTTATTTTTAACAGAAACAACATGCTTTTTTGTAATATTGGTGTTGTCGTATTTAGATGACAATTCTTATCCACTACGTAGTTATTTTTGTTGTTCAGGATTGGTAATATGGATTGGTTGGTACTGGGAATCGCGAACTGACATTTTTGCTGTTTTTTTTTTTAATCAATCCCATGTTATACAGTTTATTTAAAAATCTCATGTATTTTCACAAATTCCAACAAATTTGTGCTTTTTTAAATTTCATCATAATGAATGTAATTTTTTTATTGTCAGCAATTGCGAGAGGTAACCTATTGGTTTTATTAAATTAAAAATTGCAAACGTATTAACGGCTAAAAAATCAAAAGGGTGGCTAACCGCAACGCGTTGCTAACAAAAATGTCTTATCAATAGCATTATAATAAAAATTAGACCTCCACGTCCATATAACACTGGACGTTGTCTTGCTGATTATAGAGTGGTTACCCCTCAAGCAATTGTATGCTTATTTACTAAAACATTTTGAAAGTGGTGCAACACTTTTCTTACCTAAAACAGGAAAAAACGTTACCTATTTATCTATTTTATAAATGTTGCAATCTAAAATCCCATTTCTAAAAATTACATAGGTTCACAAAATTAAAAACCAACTCTTTTGTTTCTGAAGGGTTGAATACGTCCTCGGAATAGGTTGTTAAGAAATTTCAAATAAAAGTAGGAAAAACGCATTTAGTTACAAAATAATAGTTTTTTTAAGCGTACAATAATTTTTATTAACACTCATAAGTCTATCTATAAATACTTATTATTAATATACTAAGGGGTGTCAAAATTTGACCTTTCGATTTAATTTAATAATAAAACTCACTTTTAAAATTTTATTGTTTGTTTTAGAGTTCAAATTTTGAGGTTAATAATTAAATTTATATCAGGCAAGTGACCCCCTCTGCTTCTTTGGCATGCTAACATGCTTTTACTAAAATTTTCGATAATATTTTCGCAGGCATTTTGTTCAATTTCTTCAATTTTTTGAATAATGTTAACTCGAAGTTATTCACGCGTTTGAGGATTGTTACCATAAATCCCTTCCTTCAAAAAGCCCCATAAGAAATAATGTTATGGTGGCCAATTAAATTGAGCTCTTCGAGAAATTATTCGGTTACCAAATCTCTCCCTTAAAAGATTTAGTGTTTCTTCCGATGTATGGCAAGTGGCACTGTCTTGCTGAAACCACATGTTCTGGACATTCACAACTTCTAATTCATTCTGTTAATAATCTCTTATCATTGTCCTGTATCGAGCTCCATTCACAGAAATCTCATCACCAGCTTCATTTTGGAAAAAATAAGGACCAGTAACGCCACCCGACCTAAAACCACACCACACAGTCACTTCAACTGGATACGGTCATTTTGCCAGTATTTTTCTTGGATTTTCTTCCCCCCATATTCTGCAATACTGCTTGTTTACTTATCCACCAATTTCGAAATGAGCTTTGTTACTAAAGATGATTTTTTCTTGCCTTCCTTCTGAAGCCCAATTAACGAACATATGATCGTTGGATTTAACTTTAGAGTCAACTGTATCTTATAGGCTCTTAAATGAAGATGTTTCTTTAAAATATTATGCAGACTAAAGTTGACTTGCTGTGAACGTTTTCGAAAGACGTTTTCGGAATTACATAACCACTTAAACTGCGTTTTTCCATTTTGCTTTTTTTCAAAATCCTCTTGTGATATTGAGATCAAATTAGGCAAAAACCTTTAAAAATATAGTCTGGTTTCCATTTAAAAAACTATTAAAAAAATATATTTTTTTAGGTTTACAGTAAGAATAGGGGAATGGAACACAAACTCTGAAATTGACTGTGGTCAAGAATTTTGTGGCTTGCCTGTCCAAGATTTAGCTATAAGCCATGTTATAGTACATCCAGGATATCAAAAACAAACGTACAGAAATAATATTGCACTAATTGTAGTTCGATCTCAAATAAACTACACAGGTAAATATATTAAATAGTATCTTCTTTTACACCATATTATTAGATTAAAATTGTCAAAAATCTAGATTGCATAAGAACACTAGGAAGTATAAATTAAAGTTCATGTCGTGTTTTTGTATTTTTTTATGTAATCGACGATTGAAATTGGTGTGAAAAAACATGTGAATATTTATTTGGCACAGTTCCCAATTGGCCAATTGTTGATTAATTTATTTTTATTTGTGTTCGTTTCAGTAACTGCACAGCCGATATGTTTACCGGAACCGTGGTCGGTCACGAGTAACAATGGTTTACTTGTAGGATGGGGAAAGACTGCAGGACAAATAGGTAAAAAATACAACAAAGGGTACCTAGATAATTTTAAGTTTATTAAACAATAATTGGGGTTTACACGTTTTTTTTAAATGGTTTTTAAACAAAGTTTAGACAATGTTTTAGTTGACAGGCATTTTATAATAATTTTTATTGATTCAGGAATTTACTGCTGTTTGAAATATATAGGTACTTTTTGATTTACATGACATTAACAGTAGATTTTTTTAATGTGGAGATCCATTTTATAGCAGTAGTAGTAGATGTTTGATTGAATGTTCAATCAAATTAATAGTAGAGGTGCCAGAATGTTCAGTACTCGTACCCTTTATTTTCTTAATTTTTATTAATAATTTAAGATACAAATATTATTAGGTAAATTATACTTTCTTTGCTGATGATACAACAATTTCTATAAAAACAGGAATACTTACTGAATTGCTAATGAGACAGTTGTGTGAAGAACAATTTAGGGCAAAAACTGTTAAACTTAAAACTCTTAAAGGAAACCAAAATAAATAAAATGTTTTTTACTTAAAAGTGAAATTCAATATAGACTTAAAACTATATTGTATATTGGTATATACAAGGTGGGGCAAAAGTTATTACCTGATTTCCCAAGGCTATAATTTTTCTTGTTAATGAAAAAATCCGTTATGTTTGTGAATAATGTTTAGTTGGACCTTAACATTTTTTCATGTTAATCCGAGAAAAGTGGACGCTGTCATACTTGATGCACAATTGTATTTGCACTTTTTGGAGCATTTTCTATTACTTTTCCCAATACGTCAGGCGATATATTTGTCAATTTATCTTTAATTTTCTTTTTAGGTCTGCCAAGGACTGTGGCTTGTTCACATAAACACAATACTTTAAATAATCTTAAAGAAAAAAGTCTGGAGCAGTCTGCAAATCACCAAAACGAAAAATTAAGTAACCAGGACTCCTCCAAACTTCTTTTTTTTGGAATTTTCGCGTTTATTTGAACCAGCCACAGACTTTGGCAGTCCTAAAAAAGAACATTGAAGAAGGAAAGACAATGCTATTGCCTGAATTATTAAGAACAGTTATGGAAAATGCTCCAAATGTGCATAAATTCTGTTCTGTGCCCCCACTTGGTCAATATTATTTTCTTGGCCTAAAAGAAAAAAATTAAAGGTCCAAATAAACATTATTCACAAACAGAACTATGTATTTTATTAACAAATAAATATAACCCTGGGAAATGACTTTTGCGCCACCTTGTACATATTAATAACGTATCCAAAATAGTTTTGAAAACAGCATATTTGGCTCTACACCATTCTCTCATATCTTATACCATAAAAATATAGCAGCAGAGCCAAAAAAATAGTTTCAACATAAAAAAGCAGTAAGAATTTTCGCAGGCCTTGCATTTGGTGATGATTTTAGGCTACAATAATATAATTTGGAGGAAAGAATTTAGGAAGTTAAATTTAATATCAGGATGTTATTTAAATCGAATCGATAAGTTTCAATCCCATGGTTAGTGTCTATGAGCATAATATAAGAAATAAACATCATAGCATAGTATGCTAACCAAGATTAATCAGACTAAAAAGGCCAAAATATGCCCGATTTTATGGGAGTAAGATTGTTCAAGTTTCCAGGCAAAATTAGGGAGTTTCCTCTAGAAAAATTAAATACAACATTTTATTAATTTTGAAAGAATATGTATTTTATAGTTGTAACGAGTTTTTAAATTTTAATTTTGATATTCATCGATATGTTTTATATTTGTAAATGTAAATGTAAATATCTTCACAAATGAATAGTTCCGTAAACTATTTTATATTATCAAATCACTATTCTAATTACCTAAAACCTAATTACAGATACTCCTCCAAATCAACAAGCCCTCGCTTTACCAATCATAAATATCCAACAATGTGCCAATGTGTATGGAAAAACACTCCCTGTTACTGAGGAACAGGTGTGTGCCGGAGGTCAATTGGGAAATGACGCTTGTAGTGGATTTGGAGGGGCTCCTCTACTTGTAAAACATGGAGATACTTTTTATCAAGTAAGTCGGGAAGCACTTTAAACAACAAGTTTTCTTTAAATAGATGGATAATGCAATATTATCTGGTTTCAATGATATTAAGTTTAGGTTCTTCTTCAGTTAAAATTTGCTTTTACTGGTGAAATATCTCAAGTAATTTTCATAATAATTTTGTATATATTTTGGTAAACTGTTATTTTTATTTAATAAAACAGGATGTTGCTTACATAATATGTAACCATTATCTAATGTTTTTATTCAAGCGTGATAAAAACTTGTTAATTGTTTATGTAATGATAGTTTTTTTTGTGTAGTTTTTATCACGTTTTATAATTTTAGGTGGGAATTTTGTCATTTGGTTCGGATCAATGTGGAGCCTCAGGGGTACCAAGTGTATACACTAATATCAAAAAATACGTTTTATGGATAAGAGAAAATTCACCATCGGTATATAACAACAATATATAATTTTTATTTAAGTTCTCTTAAAAACATACTTTTAATTTGCCCATCATATGAATATTCTTTATTTAGTGTTAAGTTTGTGATACCTAATCTAATTTATTTTATTTTAGTTCCGTAAACAATAATACTATTTCTAGACCAAAAATAAGTGAAAATGTATTTTTGTTTGTGTAAATAAATATTCTACCATAAATTCTTTTTTTATTTAAGACCATTTCAAATTATCAAAAACCATGCATTACTTAATTACGAAATGGTTTATGACAAGTTTTTTGGTCCCACACTCACGTGGACATTATACGCTTAACTATGATTTCGCGAAAGAATCGAACGATCGATTTACAACACATCTCAGATTTTTTTTTAATTTTAATATTTTGTTTATACATCCAATTTAACACTAAATCTAAATTTTTTCTTTAATCTGACTTAAACTTTAGTTCCTAGAAACCATTTAATTTTGCCTTTCACAAAAAGGCCAAATTCCATTATTTTGGCATACATTTTTTATTAAAATACTGAATGATTTGAAATTTGGCCCATGTATGACCCATATTAGTACCTACAATTCTGTCAAAAAAAGTTTTAATTTTTTACATACAGGTGGCGCTGCAATTTTTTTTTCTTCGAAAGTAGACGTTTTTTGAAGACAAAAAATTCTCTTAAGCAACAATGCTCAAAAAAACTAAATAGCGTACCAGATAATATAGATATTCCTTTATAATTCGACATATAAAAATTTACTTGCAAATGATGTTGCCGCCAGTAAAGCCAACTTAAAGTTTGGTCTACCGCATTAAAAAAAATTGAATTACACTTTCAACTCTATCCTTATTTATAAACTAAGGAACTCCAGGTGATGGCTTTTATTGGTAACTAAAACGCAACAAAAAAAAGTTTTATTTTTTTATATACAGGGGGCGCTGCAGCCTTTTTTTCAAAAATAGAGACTATAAAGTTACTATAATGTATCCGATAATATAGATATTCTTTTATTGTTTGACATATAAAAATTTATTTGCAATAATTAATGCCTGTTGTAGGGACGATTAAAATTATAACTAGTGCACGTACCCGCATGCGGGTATAACAATATGCACTAGTGCACGTACTATAGTAAGTGCACTATTGCATATTGTTATATAAACGCCTTTTTTCGCTTTTATTGTTGTATGCGGACAAAAGGTAACAAAACCAAAGAAATTTTAATTACAAATGGTAACAAGTATTTCAGTGACTCTATAGTAATAGTAATATGACCATTTGTTTAAATATATTTTAGTATATTTCGAAAGGCAAAGCATTCTTTATTATCTTACTTTAAAATTAAACTAAAGTCAAGCCTATAGGCTGAAAATCAAGTTACCCCAACAGTTGATAGTTACTGTCAAACGGTAACCATAATAACATTTAAAATTTTGCCGTTATTACAAAAGTTGAAATTGGAGAGGGAAAATATCATGCTTTTAAAGGTACGCAAAGTTAATAAATTTTCTTTAAGTAAATCAAAATTCTAGGAATTGAATTTTCTTCTGGAGTAAACATGAAAGTTCCTTGGACATCATCGAGTCGACAAAAGGAAAATCTAAATAATTTAAAAGCAATTAAATATAGGTGCGACGAATTACTTTGCAGTAGGGTTTTTGAAAATGAAGATGATCTTCTAAACCACCTTAAATTTCAAAATCATAAATTTCCTGAAATTAGACAAACTATAGGTGATGTTCCTAGAATGGAATTTTTAAAACAAAAACTGCAACTAGTTCAACAATATCTACCGTTAATATATGCCCAAATGAAGAAGATAAAAATACGTTTTTTCGAGTTTATGCAAAAGGGTTCGGAAGGCGCAAAATTAAAAAATCACGTTTTAATGAAAAACAAAAAGATTTTGTTGGCAACCTTTTTGAAGAAGGTGAAAAAACTAAAATTAAATATACGCTTGAATATATAGCAACAGCTTTACAAAATTATGAAGTAAATGGCAAATTTTATTTTTCTTCAAACGAGTATATGCATCCTAATCAGATACGCGGCTTATTATCAAGATTATCGTCAGATAGAAGGTTAAGTAAAATAGAAAAAGAAAATTAAAAAATTTGCCGGAAAAAATTGAAGAAATTAGCCCAGAAGCGGATGAACTTTTTTTGAAGTTTTATCAGTTTTAAAGTAGTTCCTTTGCGGCCTAAGTAACTTTTAAGTTATAAATAACCCTGGTTAAAATCTCTAGACTGATTCTGAGAATCGCTCTAGAGATTTGAACCAGCCGGTATGATATAAACCAGGGTTATTTATAACTAAAAAGTTAGCGAATATACCCCTTAGAGCCGAACAAGTTTAAAATTTAAGGTAAAGGTAATAATAATTATTATTATAATAATTATTAGGATATATTTTTATTATTTAATATATGCAAATCTTGCAGATAAATTGTTATATGTTAAATAATAAAGAAATAGTAATATCAATAATAATAATAAAGAAAAACATAATAAATAAAATAAAGAACAAACCTATTAAATAAATAAAGGAATACGTAACTCTTTATAATAAAGGAATACATAACTATATTATCTGAAATGCTATATAGTTTTTAAAGAAAAAAGGCTGCAGCGCCCCCTGGGTGTGAAAAAATAAAACTTTTTTTTTGCTGTGTTATTGTTACCAATAAAAGTAATCTCCTGGAATTTCTTAGTTAATAAATAAGAATAAAGTTGTAAGTGTAATTCAATTTTTTTTAATGCGGTAAACTAAACTTTAAGTTGGCTTTACGGGCGGCAACATCATTTGCAAGTAAATTTTTACATATCAAATTATAAAGGAATATGTATATTATCTGGTATACTATTTAGTTTTTTGAGCATTGTTGCTTAAGAGAGTTTTTGGTCTTCAAAAAACGTCTATTTTTTAAGAAGAAAAAATTGCAGCGCCACCTATATGTAAAAAAAATTATTTTTTTTTTGGTAGAATTGTAGGTTCTAATAAGGGTCATTTATGGACCACATCTCAAAACAAAAAAATTTTAGATTTAGGGTGGAATTAGATGTATAAACACAATATTAAAATATAAAATAAATCTGAGATGTGTTATAAAAAAATACCCCAAAATCGTTCGATTCTTTCGCGAAATCATAGTTAAAAGCAATGAACAAAATAAGCTTTTGTTACACTAGTTAAATCGTAAAAATATTATTCCACTAGTGGATAGGGCCATATCCAGAGTGTTACTGCTGCCAGCTGTCCCTAGGGTTATGGTCTTCAAAGCAAGGGCATCTTAAGATTAAAGTTAAAACCAGCATTTATTTATTTTGAACCCGACCCCTTTGTATTTTACTAAAATTTTTATATATTGTATTACCCCACTAAAAACGTTTTTTTTTTTAATTCATACAAATTCACACAAACAAAAATAAAATAAAAAAATCGACGTATTTTTTTAATTTTTCGTTTAAAAACTTGCTTTTTACTAAAAATACAAAAATTCCTATTTGTGTGCGCATTGCTCTATGCGATAGTTGCGGAAGTATAAGTGACTTTAGGACCCAGGAGGTACAAGATTGGATTTCCAGCGTAAAAATACACTGGTCCCTACCTATTAAAAATAAATAAATATATACACTGCGCGTCAAAATTAACGCATAATAAGTAAAAAAAATGTAACTCTAAAACGCCTTTACAATTCTTTATCAAATTTTGTTTAAAAATACTTCAACTTATATCTCAGTTTACCTGTTCAAGGGTTTTTCGAGAAAATATTTTTAAAGCCCTTTTATTTAATAATAAAAAAACGTTCAAAAAATAACTTTAAGGGAATTTTTTTAAATAAAAAATACCCTGAAAATGTTGTACAAATCAAACGAATCGCTTCAAGTCTGTAAAAATGACCCCTTTTTGATTATTTTACTGAAAAGTGGTCATTTTCGGGGTATTTTCGTTACTGAAAAAAACAAAATTTTCAGGGTATACCTTAGAGTAACAGAGTACTCTATGGGGTATATTAACAAAAATACGGTCTTTTTTTCGACCGTTTTTTATTATTAAATAAAAAGGCTTTAAAGATATTTTTTCGAAAAACCCTTGAACACGTAAACTGAGATATAAGTTAAAGTATATTTATCCAAAATTTTATAATTTTGACGCGCTGTAGAAATATTGAATATGGATCGGGTAAATTTTGAAAAGTAAATCTGTGCCACAGAGATGTCGTCCATGCATATACCCATGTAGTACATGGATAACATGGAAATAAACATGGATTTAATAAAAATAATAAAAATCTAAAATAAATATATACCTATCATGAGCAGGCAAAATAGTTTAAAATAGATTAAAGGTCAAGATCTAGAGAATAAGAAGAAGAAAAAAAATAGGATGTGTACAAAAACCTAAACATTGTTCCTGAGATATCGTCAAAAACTTAAAAAAATCCCTTTTAGACACCCTTATTTCTATACATGTGTTGAAACATCCTGTATAAAATGTTTTTTGGGAAAAAACATTAATTTTTCAAGATACCTACGCTATTTATATCTTTTAACTTTCCTTTTAATTTTTTCGGAATCTAACTTTGTTTTTATAATAAAATAAATCTAAATTTGGGATTTGGGGAATTGAATGCAAAAAAAATACAAAATGGGGATCTTGGTATTTTCTAAAAAACTTTAAATTTTATGAAATAATTTTTTTTTTAAAAGTAATAAGCTTTTTGCCTGTCAGGGCACTGCCTCCCTGATTCCCGCTCTGATTCCCTCCTGGCTACGGTCCTGCTAGTGGAACAATAGAAAAAAATAGAAGACAATTTAAAAAAATAGTATATTTATTTAAGTATATAAATATGATTTTAAAAATTGTTCACTTATTTAATTAAATTCGCAATTATATTTCAGTGAGAAATAATAAAAAAGCAATGTTAAAAAACTTAACCTTGAAACCAAAACACATCTGTCAATAATAACATTAAGGTTAGTTTACACTACGATTCGTTCATTCGTTCAAGTATTAATTTTTATTTATTTTTTAATTTAATTTTCGAATAAAATAATATGTGAAACTCGTAAAATTCTTTACGAGTCAATTATAAACTCGTTCACTTGTTGCCAATACCTCTGTAGGGTTCTACACTTTCGAAAGAAGGGTTAAAATAAAACACATTGTTTCTGGAGTTTTTTAAATTTGGTGTTTATTTCAAT